AGCACCACATTCTTTAGGAAAAATTGCATCACTCAGTAATGATATACACCCCTAGGTTTAAAAAATTGTCTTTTTTGTCGTCCAACAGAATCTGATGATAACCTTCATAAGAATCCACAAATGACTGCATTTCATGTTTACCACAGTTTCAATCAGAATGTGAATGTTCGGCAATGGAAAATTATCCTTAGGGATGGGATTGTTGACATCTCTGTAGTCGACACAAAATTTGATCTTCCCATCTTTTTTGGCGGAAGGAACAACATTGGCCAACCAAGTCGGTTATTGTGTCACTTCCAGCAATCGAGATTCTATCTGCTTGGTGATCTCTTTTTTAATCTTTCAACTCAACTCAGGCTTGAATTTCTGAGTTTTTTGCTTCACCGAATTGAACCCTAGATTAGTCAATAATTTGTGAGTCACCATATTTGTACTCAACCCTAGCATGTCGCTGACCTCCCAAACGAACACGTCAATGTACTCGGTGAGTAAATGAATAGGCCTTTTCTTTGAGCTTCATTCAAATGAACGCTAATATTGACTTCTTTTACACACTCTTGGTCTCCCAGATTTGTAGCTTCAAATTCCTCTAAATTAGGCTTATGCTGATTTTCAAACTGTAGAAATTCTTAAGCAACATATTTTGGTTCCTCACTTTCTTCTTCGTAATCATCAACCTCGTTATAACCTACCTCATTTGGTTCATTCAGCTCGTTACATGACACGACATTGGTAGATTTAAAACATACATTATTGAAACCGTAAACAAACAAAGTTAGGAAAGCAAAGTATAACAGATGAGTAAATAAACAAATTTAAAAATAAAAGAGGCTTTCATTCAAATTGGAAAAACGGTGCAAGCTTTGGCCATGGCATAGGGCCATGTTGCCACTTTAAACATCATAATGGAAAATTGAAAATTCAAATAGTTAAGAAAAATGCAAAATGATGGGCCTCGGGCCTCTTCTGGACTACCACCAATTTTTAATTATGCATTATACGATGACCTTCTACCGAGGATTTTGGGAGATCAGGATGGGCGTGGAGGTCCAGTTCTGCAGCATCTCTCCTGGCTCAGCATCACGGATACAAGCTAGCTCGACCTCTTTCTTAATAACATCATCGATCTCCTCGAAAAGGCCATAGATTCCTTCCCCAAGGTCTTCATGCTCAACATACTCCCGAACTGGGAAGGATTGATACAGATGTGGGATCGACTTAGTCAATGCTTGATCATTTTTTCTTTTTACTTTATGTCATCATCAATGAAGATGTACCCAAACCATATTTGGCTCTTTTGACGAGGATCGGAATAGGCTCAATAATTCCTTGCGAATTTATTCGCAATCTGAAACCTAGTTTAAATCCACTCTGCAAAATCACTGTAGCAATAATCTTATACACATAAGGCATGAGAGGTTGTGGGGCCAAGTCTTCACTAGTAGCATTTACCAGCTCCACTGTGTAGAAATTAGTACCATGAGACACTTCATCGATAATCAACGCCTGTCTGCCTGAATGACTGCCTTCGCCATGAATGACTAGATCTTCGTTCTTTTAAACAAGTTTCATGATCTGATGCATGGTAGAGAGAACAACTCAAACCAAGAGAATAAAAGGCCTTCCCAGAAAAAGGTTATAGCTGGTGACAATATCTAGGACTTGAAACTGTGTGTTAAATCGGCAGGGGCCAATTTGATAACCTTATTTTCGGCTCCCAAGGTATCTCTTTGAACCCCATCGAAGGCTCTCATGTTGACTTGATTTTGCTTAAGTTTTTCTAAGTCAAACTTCAACTACCTTAGCGTTGACAACGGGCAGATGTTTAGACCAGATCCATCATCTACTAAGACCCGATTGATAACCTTTTCAGGACAGACGATAGTGATATACAGTGCCTTGTTGTGGGACTTGCCTTCAAAAGGTAACTCATCTTCATAAAAGCTAATTCTATGCCCTTAATAACCTAGTGGATCATAGAGGCCACATTATCGCTGCTTGTGCCCGTGGGTACATACGTATCATCGAGAGTCTTCATCAAAGACTGTATGTGCAATTGAGAACTCATCAGCAGCGCCCATACAAAAATTTGGGCTGGAGTCTTCTCAAAATGCTTGACAATAGAATAATCTTTCGGCTGCATTCTTCTCTAGAATTCCTCTTCGTCACCCTCGCTTATTGGTATTTTAGCTTGATACTTCTTTTGACCTCCGAGAGAAAGCTCCTCAGGAATATAACATGTTTTGGATCAGGTCATACCTTGTGCAGTAGCAGTCTCAACCACAAATTTTTGCTTGAAAAGTGTTTTTTATGGAACCAAGGCAACAACCTTTTCGGTTGTCAAGATAACGAACTCTTTATTCTCTTTGATGCTCAAGAAAGCAACAACCTTTTCAAAATTTTCATGAACGATTGGAGCTATCACTTTCGTTCCACACCAAATCATAGTCTGATTCTATTATACAATCGTTGCCGCCTCCATGATTCGGCAAAGGATTGGTATTCACATTAGGTGCAACTGGTTGGAGAGAAACCAACTCTTCGTCGATTAAATCTTGAATCTTGGGCTTGAGGTGGATACAGTCCTCAGCATCATGTCCAACACAGTTGGAATGATAAGCACATCTCTGGTCTGACGTATAGAATTTTGAATTGATTTCCATGGTTTTGGGCCCTACTAGGTTGATATATTCGACCGCAGCAACTCGCCTGTACAACTTTGCTCTACTTTCTTCTAGCACGATGAAATTCCTTGAAGGTTTCTTCTCGAACCGAGGTCTAGGGGAATCATAACTTCCTTGTTGGGGAGGCATCTGCTTATAAACTCGCTAGTTGTTTTGCATTGGAGCTTGGTAGTTCGAGTAGGGATTTTGATATAGTGGAACTTGATCTTAATAGACAGGAAGGGGTGCTCAATATCCCGACTACACGTTAGAACAGTTGGGAGCAACACCGTAGTAGAGAGATGAAAGTGAAGGATGATTTGGGTAAACGGGAGATATATTCTGGTAATTCGGGGGTTGACTTTTGTCTAGGGGAGATTCGACGTTTGGATAAGTGGAGGTAACATTCTCATGAATTGGAGGATTATTGGGATGACTAGTTTGCGTGTACCAAGCTTGGTAGGAATTTTGGGAAGGTCGAGAGAGACCTTGGGAATATTACGAGCTTCTCGGAGTTTTCCTTCCCCCATATGAAACAACAACATTTTTTTCTCTTTTTTTCTTCAACGTTCCTAATAATCCGATTGAAGCAGTGACGGGCTATCCTTCCCGTTTTCAACCCGTCTTAGATATTCTAACCAACTTTGACTATCTCAGCAAATTTTGCTCCTACAAGCAATATGATTCCATCATAATACTCAGCTCTTTCACCCGCACGAACACTTCAACAAATTTATTTTTCAGACATTGGCGCCTCGCACCCTCGCCGCTTTTTTTCTCAAATTATAGGCAAACTCCCAATAGCTCTCGGTTGATTTTTGCTTTATCTTTTCCAAGGAGTATCAAACTGGAACAATTTCTATGTTGTAAGAGAATCGATCGATAAAATCTTTGGTCAATGCATTCCTACTGGGCCTTTGCCGGGTTTCATGCGAGATGAACCATTTAAGAGCTTCTCCACTCAGTCTTCGGTTGAAGAGCCGCAACAATAAAGTTTCATCCCTTCCAACTCCCACGAGATGGTAACAGTAGGCTCTCAAATGAGCCTTAGGGTTGCCCACTCCCCCGATAATGTCAAACTTCGGGATATTGAACCTTTCTGGAAGGTACAAATTTGGATAGATACATCAGTCTTTATATCTAATACCGGCAGCATCAGGGATGCATTGGAGCTCTTTCATGTCTTTCTTGATCTCTTCTTTTATGTGAACCTTTACCTCTTCATTTGCCCTCCACTCCTTTTTCTGTTCCTCATAATGGTCCAGCTCAGAACCATGCACAACGTGTTCGGCAGGAATAGGAATTTTGAAAGTAGTTTTTTTGGGTAAGGATAGAGCCACATAAGGACTCTGGGCATTTTGAGCAGTTTGATAATTTTGTTGGTAAGTCTACAGATTGGTATTCTTATTTAAGTGGTGATGGGATGTTTTGGATTAAAAGTATTTTGATTTGGATTTCGTTTTTGATTTTGCAGTGGTGGAGCAGTTTCATGGTGGGCATTTTGAGGATGGGGTGGCATTTGGGGATGATTGTTTTGAGAGGAGGTGGAGTTTGGTAGGATGCGTAAGCTTATTGGGGATTTTGGGTAGTCAAATCTATAACCGACGGGTTCTAAGCAGGTGTAAATGGCTGGTTCTAGGACAAATCAATATTTGAGGGAAGGAAGTAGATTGGATGTCTTCCATCAAGAGTGTTAGCAGCAAATCCTGGTTGAGGCGAATCCTGTCTCGTTTGCGTTTCTACCCTCATCTCTTCAATCTGTTGCATGAACTACACAATCAACTCATTATGGTCCTCTATGGTGGGTTAAGACACCACAACATCAGTAAGACTTACTTCTTCGTTATTATCCCCCTTAATAGTCTTTGCATTATCTAGATTTGTCTAAGGAAGAAATCTGTAAGACCTTTTGATCTGGTGGAATAGGGATGATCTACCAGGTATTGATCCACACAGATAAGTTTCAAAGTACCTGAGAGGGAAAACAACTCAGAGGCAGATTTGTCACTACAGATTCAGAATACAAAATGCATAATATCACATAGAGAGCATATAAACACACAAGTTGCTTTGTTTTAGGACATCTTCAACTCACGTGTAAGGACGGAAACACATTATTTAACAAGTAGGACTTTGCTTGTTTAGTTTTCACACTGTCTCAGAAAGGTTAAATCACGTTTGAGCTACAGTCTTCTTGCAGTTGCTCTTTGACGTTCGTTGATTTGGTCTACGTATCTTCTCGTCACATAAAGGGGGAGAATGAAAATTATTAAAGATAGGGTCAGTCCTGGTAAGGCTACCTACGTATCTCACAAGGAAAATTCAAGCCTAACGTAGTTCGAGTACAAGATAAAATATTTTCATTCATTCATTCATTACGATTACAAGGAAAATGAAAGGCAACAGTAGAGCTTTTAAACAATAAAATGATGACGTCACATTCATCATTTCCATTCTTGTTGCAGCATTAGTCTCATCCTTCCGTACGTCCTAGGAATGGAGGCCTGTAGACGATTTCCTTGTTGTCGTCATCCCCAGTCACTTCAGGGTGAGCATTATCGGGACCACTATTAGCCCCTTAATCATAAACGGGGTAATTTTCGCGCATTTTCTGAAGTTCATCAATCATGTTGCTATGGAAGGCTTTGTTCTTCTTCCTCAGTACAACCATCCATTCTCTCATAGAGATGAGTTATTCCATTTCCATTGTCAGCTCTTCATGAAGTAACATGCTGTTAGCTAACAGAGAGGCGGTCTTCGATTCTATCCTCGCCTCTCTCACTTCTATTACCTGCACTTTCACCCGAAACTTGTCCAACTTCTCTCGCAAGTCTTTTGTGTCCATCTCAACATCTTTCTTTCTCTTCATCTCTGATGTCAGATCCTCATCCAGAGTCACAGTTGCAGCTTTGTAAATTGCGGTGGCCATGTAGATTCTGAGCCCTTCCTCCTTTGCTTCTTAATTTTTGAAGTGATCCGTTCAATCTTTCTTTGTAGCTCTTCTCCAGTGAGTTCCATCTGGATGTTCTTACCTTTGTCCATTGCAGTGATTTTTCCTTTCCTGAGATGGTAGAGTAGTGTTTTAAGATTTGAGGTATAGGATGTGTCTTTTGAGTGTGAAACTTGAGACTCAGAAATTTTGACCGAACATTTTGTAACGACGACTTGTTTGTATATATAATCTGAAAGTTTCTGGAAATGAGTGGGTTTACGATATCATCATTAATAGCAACATAACACATAAGTAGTTAAACACATATATCATGTCCTAACACATATAGAGGGACACTTTTGTGCCAAGGGTAGGCCTAGCACATTTGAATAATGTACGCGTGAATTGAACAAAATAAACAATCTCCCCTTCCAAAATGAATTTCACAAGTTAATAATGTTCATAGAGGGGAAAATAATGGATAATACATTAAAGAAAAACCCACGTGGGGGACATTTAAAAGTGCATTAAAGGCAGGCCCACGCAGGGGCTAAAATGACAAATACATATTGAAAAACCAACATAGGGAAGAAATCCACTATATCTCTCCAGATGGTCCTGCTTCGTCGTCGTCCCCCGCAGTATTGTATTACTGAAACATATATCATAGCATCAGCAGGAATCCTTCACCTAAGCGTCATTTTTCTTCCAAGCTTTCGTATCGCATCCTCTTGATTTTCTTCTTGACCCAAGCATCGAAATTGTCATAACCACGCCATAGTCTTTCCACCTCTTGAGTCACCTTCTCTAGAGTGTCTTGGTTCTCAAAAAACTTAGCGTACACTTCTTGGGCCTCTTTCTTTATCTCTTGTAGCTGGGCCATTGCTTCGGCTTTTCTGTCTGTTACGCTGCAAAAGTTGCACGGTTTTAGGGAGAAGATGCTTTGTATGTCCTTCTTCAGACATTCTTTGTAACCATTGTGATACCCAGCATTGAATCGGTAAGGGGCGATGTTGTTTTTGTCCATACGCTTGGCACTTTTCCATTCTCTAAATGTTTCGGACGCGTCTTGCACTCTATCGTCTCCAAATTCATATGCATAACCACCATAGTACGCCTCTTTGGGTACAATTTGTCTCCTCCTGAACTTTCATAAGACTTGAAAGAGTGCATAAGGGAGCATTCTCTGAATAACTGGTAGAGGAAGCACAATATTTATGCGGCTTTCCACGACAACTTCTTTGGAAATGAAACGGTTCAGCATCCATTAGAGATCTTCTTCTCTCGATTTGGAGAAAATTTGAGCCCATCTTCCCCTAGTTCTCCGATTGTCCATATTTGCCCAGTACAATATGTCATTCAAATCAATAAGGGTGTTTTTGTTGTCAAGAGTATGCAGCTCCCGAGTCCCAGCACCTTTTGCTAAATGGCTGAAGATCCACCACTTAAGGAGCAAGTTGCATTCTTGGAAGTATCGATACCCCTCTTTGCATTTTCCGAGGGTTCGATACATATCGAAAAAGATGACTGGAGCTTTAGGGTAGTACTTTGTTATACCTTGGTTCTCATACTCTTTGAACAAAGTATGCGTGAGTGTTATAACTCGGGTATTGATACTCAAACTTGGACCATGTGGAAATACCATTGTACCCAATAACGCTACAACAAATGCTAATGGACGAATTTCATTCCATTTATTGTAGGAAATCTTGAACTCTCAGTTGTAAGTGGCGTAGAAGGTTAAATGTTCGTGTCATATACAATGATCCCTGAATGCTGCGTGGGATTCTTGGCACTAGTAGGCAAAGTCTTTTCCCAACCCGAACCAGTCAACAATATTTTCTATAGAAGACTTATTAGGGATAAAGATATCTTCTTGTTTTCTTGAAGTCCTTTCTATCTCAGTACCTACTATGTCTACACAGTCTCTGATCTCCTCCAAATTTGGGGTAATTTCGGCAGTTCGAATTGAAACACCAATCCTTTTCTATCCCAATATCTTAGACTAAACAATAATAAATAAAAATAAAAACAGAAAATAAAAAGGCGACAAGGGCTTAGGCCCAAAATAAGTACAATATGATGATTAAAATAAATTTTGGGCTATTTTGCCCCAATCCATTCAATTTTTCCGACTTGATTCGGATCCTTCATCCTTGGACCTATTCTGTGATTCTACAGGGTTGAATCAATGGAGATTTTTGGGCTTTTAAGTCTCTCTCTCTTGAGATGCAAAGGGAAGTGAGAGTTTATATCAAACTCGCACAGATTTTTGCATGAAACAAAATAATGATAGGGATTAGTGCTCCACGATTTTTAAGTAAAGCATCAAAAGACTGTAAATTAGTCCAAAAGAAAATCAAAGATGCCAACGAAAACTACTTTGGTGAATAGATAAACAATTTTGCCGGAATCACGAAAAATAAAACCAACAAATTGAATGTGCTCTTTGAAATAAAGTGTCACATGGGAAATTTTGAAGCAATCAATACCATAGCAAATTATTTGAACTGAGATAAACATGTCGTGAGTCAACATCAAATAAAGATAATAATAATAATAAATAAATAAACTATGGGCCCGTTTGGATGGGCTTAATAAAAACAGCTTTAAAAAAGTACTTTTGAAAGTGCTGAAACTTATTTTTAAAATAAGTAGTTATGCGTTTGGATAAAAGTGCTGAAGTTAAAAAAAAATTGTTGATGTGTTTGGCAAATAAGTGTTGATAAACAACTTTTTCATTCATTAGTAATAGTAATTGTCTATCATCCACACGTGAAAAGGGAAAAATAGAAGAAAGAGATGTTAGGATTATGTGGATAATTTGGAAATTGTATAAAAATATTAAGGATAAAAAGGTAAAAATGTGATCAACTTAAAACAGTTTATAATCTGGAAAAAAAAGCACCCCTACCCCAGCTTTTAACTTTTAGATTAAAATAAGTTTTTTTCAACTTAAAATAAGTTATTTTGAGGATTGTCAAACAACTAAATAAGTCAAAAATCAGTTTTTAAGTCAGTTTGACCAGCTTTTAAGCTGAGCCAAACAAGCTCTATGACATATGATAAATGGGCACACTTAGCCATTCATGGTAAACTGTGCTCTGCAATAAAGAAATGCTATAAACTAAAGGAATAAAGCAGCTTAGCATATTTTGACTAGCAAATAACAATACTGCAGAGAAAGGATTTATACCCAGCTATTCACTTATACCGATATGCACATCTTATCATATTAGCTGGAATAAAAATAATATAATCAAGTCATTTTGTATCACACATCATTATTATATTTCATGTTTTATTTGTTTCTTTTTTTTAAAAAAAGCACATAAGGGTTGGAGACAAGCATGAATAGGCTACAGGAAATCCTCGAGCCATTTTACAGTTTTAGCCATCAAAACATACCAAACTATGCTTTATTCATCTTTTTATTACGAGATATACAGAGACTATACATCCACCAGAAATCAGAAACGCCACGAAAAAGGATTTCAAACTTCAGGACTGAATAACAGCTTTATTTGATCACACAAAAACCCATATTTGCTGAAAATTCAGACATATAGAAACAAACACTAGGCAGGCAAGAGAAGATATTGATATGGTCGAAATGATATACCACGAACTTAAAACAAAAAATAAGCAATATCTAAGAAACTCGAGATATCAATGTCTTGCTTCAACCTTCCAACCTAGTATAAGAACTAAGAAAGATGACTTTCGACATTCAATCCCTATAACAAATTTGTGATTGACGAAGACAAACTAAAACCTAGTATGACACTTCCAAATTCAATCCCATATAATAAAAAAAAGGGCAACAACAATTTTCCTTTTATCCCTCCAGAGACTCAACCATATGTTCAAGTCACAACAAAAACTCAACTCATAAAACATTTAGAGACAAGTGAAAAAGGTGCACCAATTTACGTTAACATTCGCATACATTTAACACACACAAACTCATATAACCAAACATCTAACAGTGACACGTTAAGAGTAAAAATTCTTGAACCAAATAAACAATGGAAAACACATAACGACGAAATGGAAATTTTAAGTATCGGATTCCCAAAACCAAACAAATATGACAAGATAGAAAAGGGCAGCCACAACTTAATCTCAAATAAAGATACAATTTTAATCTCAAAGGGGTATATAATACAATAACCAATTTCCATATGAGACGTTTGAGAAATCATCTTCATTTGAAGAAAACGCAGCAAACAACATCAACACTAACGAAATGAGTGCTCATTTTTATATTTTAAGACAACTAAAACAGGAAATACAGATTCAAACTTCCAAAACAAGTACGAAAAAAGGACGATGAAAGAAACTCGAAACAGAGGAAATCAACTACGATGAGATCGCTTTAAGAAGTATGCAATATATCAAATGTTTTTCTGTTACAAATAACAACAATACCACGATACGGTAATAGGTCTATCAAAAAATGGCAAAATACGAAGAGAACACTGTACACAAGTTTGCAGAAGAACCTTAAAATATACATCAATAATGTCACAAAAAAGAAGGAATAACAGCGTACAACTGGAGCAAAGAACTTCTTTATGATAAAATTACGAAATGCTAAAACATTAAAACAAAATGGCAAAAGACTTCATGGATAGCACCCATACAGTAAGCAAATAACACATGATTTAGACATACATGACAATAAACTCTTTAATGATCATTATAGCAGTAGGAAATAAAAGGGAACACAAAGAAGTCAAAAAATAGAACATAATTAGTGGTTTACCTTTTGATGCAACAAAAAGAGACAACGATGAGCGCCAAAGAAAGAAGCGAGTTCCACACAAACGGAACAACCAATGGTGAAAAGAAGACCCAAGTTCGAGCAAAGTATCTACTCCAATTCTGAAATCGAGTGAGCCATTTCAAGAGTATTTCTATGGATTTCAATCAAGTAAACTTGTTCTTAATATATTAAGTAGCTTTCGGAAAGTTCCTCCTCTTCTTGTATGGGATTTCGGCTGGTCTTCTTTCTCGAGAAAATTTTCTCTCAAAAAAAAATTTCCTTTACTAAACAAACTCTCTGTTTCTTTCTCAAAAACTAATATCTTCAACTTCACCCCCCAAAAAAAAACTCCCAGAACAAAAAAAAAAGAGAAGAGAATTATATATGGGAGGGTAAGGGTTCAAAACGAAGTGAGAAAAGGGCCCCCACCCCCTTTTCAGGCCCACAAAAATTTGAATTTTCAAAGCTTCAAATCCTATCAAAAGATCGAATATTCCTTCAATTCTAAAATTTTGACCGAATTCCCAGCGAGGTGGAGGGACAAGATTTATTCTTTGTACTGGGCAGGCGATGTGGAGTTATCTCGCTTTTGCAAAGATGAAAGTGTCTCGCATTGCTGCTGAAAAATCGTACGAGTGAGGGAAACGTTGAGGAAATAAGAGAAAGTTTGCAGTTTACGCTCACTGCTCCTCTCTGCTTTTGCTTTCTATGTGAATTCCGTCAATTTGGGAACGTTGGAGGGTTGTCATTTGCTCCTATGGCTGATGTCGTTTGGAGAAGCTATGAAGACGCTGTGTATCACCGCTTGAAGGAGATGTTTGGGATGTTCTGGAGACGTATTCAGGTTCTCTTTTAGGGGAAAATATTTGGACTGGATCGGGTCACGAAGTAAGGTGGGCTGGGATGGGCTGTTGGATGTATTGGAATGGTTTGGATTAAATTGCTCATGATTAAATTGGATAAGATGTCTGATATTGGGTTGAAGGGAGGGAAAAGGGTTGGGTATCGGCGTTGTTTGAAGTGGGCCTCTAGAATAATAAAAGAAGGCCCAAATGTGGTCTTCTAATTAAGGATTTTACAAATTTATCCATATTAAATTGTAATTGTCCAAGGATTAAAATTTAAAAGTTAGGCAAATTAATTAACGAGTTTCCTAAGGTTAACAAAAATAAAATAATTAATTCGGATATAAACTAAAGATTCAAAATGTAAGCTAAAATAATTAACCAAATATCCATACAAAATACTACTATCATTAATATTTTTTTATATTTTGAATATTCATAAATTTAAATAATTATACGAACAATTGTGTAAGACATATACGCTAGCTAAGACAATATAAGAAATGTCAAAACCTTATTTTAAATAATTCACAATCTTAAACTTTATTTATTACTATCATTTTATATATATATATATATATATATATATATATATATATATATCTTAATTTATAAAATTAATTATGTTAAATTGTTTAAACTCGAGAAGCTAGCTTGTTAATTACAATCATGGAGGCTCAAAATTGGGTGTCAACAATCCCTGTAACCATGATATCTCCTCTACATGCACACATGAAATACTAGATGGACTCCCTATAGGTTAGGAGGTTAAGTTAATTTGTAAGCTATTGGTTCTACACATACAAGAATCTGAACTAGACAAATGTATCTAGGACTAAGATTGCCCGTCATGCAAAATCTCATCACCCACTTTTTGGGTGATACTTTAAGAATAACTCTCCCGGTCTGAAATGCCATGTCTATTACCTTATGGCCCACATACTTTTTTTTGTCTATTCTACATTGCTAAAAGCTTATCTTGAATATTCCTCACTTTATCTTGAGAATTTTTCTCAAAATCAATCCCCAAATGTTTCATATCTCAAACCTCAAACCATCCTATGGGTAATTAACATGCTCTCTATAAGTGTGTCGAACAATGCCATATCAATGCTGGAGCTGTAACGATTATGATAGGAGAACTAACACAAACATAGGAACTTATCCCAACGTCCTCCAAAGTCAATCGCATATGCCATTAACATGTCCTCTTACACTTGGATAATTATCTCTTACTACTCGTCTGTCTTAGGATGAAAAGTCACACTAAAATTGAGTTTTTTAGCAAATTCATCATGTAATTTCCTCCAAAACATGGATCCAAATTACATACCACAATCTAAGATAATAGAAAGGGGTACATAATGAAGCCTAACTATCTGTTTCACATAAACCATAGATAAATCTTGAGCAATATAATCTATTCAAACAAAACTAAAGTTTGTTGACTTAGTAAATTTATCGACCACTACCAAAATATAACAAATCTTTCCCAAAGTCTTGGGGAGACTAACTGCAAACAAAAATCTACTATTTCCCACTATTAGTCCTAAATTAGCATTTTTTGAAGCAAACCTCTAGGCAGTTGATGCTCATAATTTACTTGATGACAATTTTTGCATGTAGGCACAAACTCAGCTATAGATTTCTTCATGCCTTGTTACCACGAAAATCACTTCAAATCTCAGTTGTTTTATCGAAAAATTACTTTTCATAAGTTTTTGACTTTTTAAAGTAGCAACTTAATTTTGAGAAGACTAAGAAAACTTTTATTTTCAAAAGAGTTAGCAGAAAAAATCAATGGAAAACTTTAGGAGATGATTCGGGGATTCCTATTTATATTTTAGTAAGGGGTCAAGCACCTCAAATATCCGCTTAACACGGTTTTCCGGTAATTAACTTATTTGACAAAATTTCTAACTTAAATTTATTATAAAGTTTATTAGGATTTGTTTTCAAGAACGGATTTATTATCTAAGTAAGAATTGGTTTGCAAGTTTATTCATCCTTTTAGAATTTAGTTTTAATTATTTTTAAGTCGATAATACATTTATAGCATTAGAGGGGGTTTGGGTTCTTTAACCCTAAAACTAGTGACAATTAATGAATAAGTAATTAAGCAAATAAAGAGAGAGACAGACAGACAGAGAGGGAGAGAGATTGGATCCAACCCAGGTTCTGTCCTCCTGGACCGGTATTGGATCCATTTGTTTCGGGTTATTGACCTATTTGAATTTTTGGGCCTTTGACCCATTTCCACCAGTCCTAGACTAGGCAAAAATTAGTAAATACAAAATAGGAAATATGACAAGGGCTTCGGCCCAACATAACAAAATATAACACTTACAAAAATAAAAAAACATTTGGACTGTTCGACCCAACTTCTTCAATGTCTTCAGCCTCTTCAAGCCATTTCTATTTCCAAATTTGTCCGCCTGTTTTCGACTCCAAATGAGTAAGATGGAGCCTCCTTGGCTCGGAAAGATTGTGTGGAAATAAATGGGGGGTTGGAATAGTATGATCTTATCCCATAATTCATGCAGGGGATAAGGAATAAACAGTTAATAAGTGACTCAAGACATATGAATGTAAATAAAATTTCCACTAATGGTAAACAAAGATAACGAATTATAAGACTATTTTATGTGTTGACAAGAGAAGCCCGCATATGGTTCATTGAAGAAAGTCAAAATAACAAACATTTTCCCCTTGGCGAATAATTAACTCTAGACGATAAATGGATACACATAAAGAACTCACAAGATCAATAAAAATGACAAAAAACACGACATTAAATGGGATTAAAAATTTATATATGCACTAATTTATATATGCACTAATGGGAGTCGTCCGATTTCGATCTAAAGACGAGTGAATCGTTGAGGTATCAACATCTCTCCTGTCCTTCATACAAACAACCGCCTTTTCCTGAAGATCGTACAAGCAGGCATCAAAAGGGAAGGAGACGCATGATACCTTGTTCCGTCTATTTTATTCCGCGTGGAGAATACAAGGCGTAGGGACTGGCAGAGCGCGTATAGGATGGTTCGACGATTTTCACTCATTTCTCCACCTAACGCCGTGGAAGCGATTTGACGCGCTAAGCATTTTGTCGCTTGCAAACTGGTGAAGAAAGACAGCCGTGGAAATCCTTTTTGGGAAACAAAAATCTGGGTCGGTCAAAGTTAGAAGAGATGGACTGGGATTATCAAATTGGTTATGGGATAAGATGAGGGAAAAATAATAGGCTGCTAGTGTGGGGAATCTGATCCCTTTGCATTGAAGATGGGTTGAGGACAAATTTAAGACGGAAGGCGGGCTAGTATGGGAAAGAAAATTGGGTTGGCAAAAATAGTTGGGCTAGGAAATCAATTGGAATTAAATAGGAGATGGACCACTCAAAAATAAAAGGCCTAAAATGGTTTTGTCTAAATGGATTAAATATTTGGTAACTATATGAAATTAATTAACATAAATTAATTAAATAAGCTTCTTAATTTTTGATGAAATAAAATAATCGACGTAATTATAAAATAAATAATTCAAAAAACATGTAAACTGACTTAGCAAAGTATTAAACCTAAAATAAAAATCCTATAGAAAAGATTTTAGAATAAACATAAAATATATTAGTTATATATAATAAGGTAAAACATATATTAAAAATTATAACTTGCAAAACTATAAGCACACACACACACGCGCGCGCGCGCGCCCACACACACACACACACACACACACACACACACATATATATATATTATTTTGAATCGTTGAAAATTAGGAAGCTCGATATTGGGGAGTGTCAAAATTGGGTGTCAACATTAGTATATCTTCATCACACTCGGATGAACAAAATACCCCAAAAAATTATATTGTATCAATAATTTCTAAATTTATTCATCTAATATATGAACACAAATCCTTTCATTGAAGCTGAGCACACCTCCACATCTAAAGTCACATCTTGTGTCTCAATAGACACTATTTTCTATTTGAGCTATAAAAATTCTCATCCTCATGTTGTTTGGCCTTGATCTCCTTAGTGAATGTGTCCCTAATCTCAATGCTAGCTAACAACCCGCCGTTCAATGAGATTTTCAACTGCATGAACCTAGAATTCAAGGTTTGAATTTCCTTTGACATATGATGCTTCGATACACTTAAGCAAGCTTGACTAGACATACTCATTACATACTCACTTAGTGCGTCTTCAACTACATTAGCCTTACTTGTATGAAATTGGATGGTCACATATAATCCTTGAGTAACTCCATCTACCTTTGCTATCTCAAATTCAGATCATTTTAAGTGAAGAAATGTTGTAGAATGCGATGAGTAGTAAAAACATCACACTTTACACTATAGAGGTAATTCATCATAATCTTATGATCAAACATTACCACATGAAACTCTAAATCATGTGTAGGGTAATTACTCTCGTGCACCTTCAACTGTCAAACACTACTATAAAACACTGCATTTAGCAACGAATGTCGTTAATTCGTCACTAAGTGGATTTAGCAACGGAATTTACTTTTTAGCTACAAATTTTCATGTTGCTGAATCAAGATTTTTATTGGTGGCGATGCATAAGCTATAACATTCTTATGCTGCAGTAACACTACACACAAACCTTAGCGGAATGCATCACAATAAACATTAAAATCATTACCATCCATTCATAGTGCTAGAATTGGTGTTGTGTTCAAAAGAAACTTGATCTTTTGAAATCTCTCATCAAATTATTTGGTAAATTCAAAAGCTACCGCCTTTTGGGTCAACCTTGAAAAAGATCTGGTAATAGAAGAAAAGTAATTCACGAATCTATGAGAATAGCTAGCAAGCCTCACAAAAATCCTTACTTCAGTCAAGAGCTAGGCCGAACGTAATTTTAACCGCTTCAATCTTTTGGGTATCTACCTTTACCCCTTTCCGTAAACTACATTCTCAAAAAAGAAAATTGAATTTAACAAAAATTCACACTAAGAAAATCTTGCATGCAACTTTTGTTTCGCTAGAACACCTAGAATAATATTAATATGGTTGATTTAGTCATCCTCACTGTTAGAATAAACAATAATGTCAAAAATAAATACTATCACAAACTCATCAAAACTACATGAGCATTTGTCAACCAAAAAGATATCAC